CCTCCCCTTCCCTTTGTTTTTGCAAGTGCTTTAATGATTTGCAAGTGCACATTGACCAAATCTCTCTCCCACTTTCTACCAATTTTCTTTCCCACCTCCCTAGCTAAAATGTTATGGGAGTAGCTGCTTCCTCAAGGCTGGTTTTGCTATATATTTTTTCATAATACAACAGGGTTTACCCATCATGTCCCTTGTGGTTGTAGCTATGGGCATCTCTCTTTGGAGTCAGGAAAAGAGACAGAAGATGTACTTTGTGCCCACGCGACATATCATTTGTTAGGAATATAGACAACAATAACTTCCACCAGAAAAACTTTCAATTTGCAAACAAAGTTTGTTCTGTGGATTACCAGGGTATCTGGTTTCTAAACACTCAGTGGGAAGTTCACTTACAACTCCTGGTGAAGAAGGACAGTTGCTCTACTGCTCAGTGTCAGAGGACTGCAGTAACCAAATGTTTGTTGGTGATTTTCTTTTTTTCTTTTCAGGATCCAGCCTCACACTAGCTTAGCTAAAGGCAAAGCATCACATGATTCCTTGCTCTACAAGGTTTGCCCAATCACCACCAAAGTTACCCAGAGATGTTTCTGTTCGGTGGTGTTTCCTGGCCATCAGAAACTTTCCTAAGGGCAAATAAATCCTAGCTGAGTGTACTCTCAAACACTGGGCATGATGCTTAACGGGGTGCCCTCTGCTGGGGTAGAGACCTTGGAACCACCGAGTCTCTCCAGATGCATGGGACCAGATAAACTTAATGGGTGTAATGTTCTTTCCCTGTTCCTCTGCAGGCATTGTTTTTTGGATGCCTGTGAATTTTTTTTTTTAGCTTTGCTAGAAGAATGAGTGAGGAGCATGTTGGCATGTCGACAAGGAACACTACAGAACTAGAAAATCAAGTGAGAAACTACAGGCATAGATATCAAAAAAAAAAAAAAGAAAGAAAGAAAGAAAAAAACTCAGCTAAACATTGTTTTAACTGGTAGTTAAATTAAAGAATGTTACCTGAAAGGTCATCTTTAGAAATTAGAAAAGCCATGCCATACCTGGTAACCTCCTAAGGTACTGAGAGTCTGTTGAGCGCTTCCTAAGAGTCACACGGCTAGGACATATTTTGAACACCTTAGGGCCTTAGCCTAACCACCCAATAAGATGCTCTTCTACTAAGAATTCATAAAACTGACCCAAAGTGGAATGCTTCCCTGGGGAAAAGCATTTACAAGTCCCTCCAAAGCCACTGTTAGACTCTCCGGCTTTGGTACTCACTGACTTACTGAAATTGTCAGCAGTGCTGTGTGGGAGACTGCTGCATGCCTTGGTGGCTCTTGAAAACATATTGTTACATTTTCAGCTGGTTGGCATTAAGTTAGTAGCCTGAAATTGGCTAGAGTGAGTATTTACACCAAGGAAATCGGTAGGTGCTACAAATCAGGGTTCCGCTGTTTTCTGGAGCCAGCTGTTAAACATTTAGCAGCACACAGAAGAGCTAAAACTGTATCTGAATGGCATAGAAGGGAAATCAAAGGAATCCTTTGGTATCTCTGTTGATCAAAGGATTTGAATATGTACAGTTGTAGAAAGAAGACTGGTCAAACTTCAGCAGGGATTCTAGCCCCTTGAATTTCCTTTTTTGATTGGTTTCAGTTTAGTTTGAAGACCTTTGCACTTTGGGCGTTACCTAGAGGTCAAGAAATCAGACTCTGAGAAATACTGTAGGCTCTGGGAAGGACTTTCAAATTGAATCTGAGTGAATTATTTAACCACCCCGTTTCTCAAACCAACAACCATAAGAATGAATACCCTGAGATCTGTCTCTTCATTTAAAATATCAAGATCTGGACTTGGGGCAAAGTATATTAAAGCAATGCTTCCTATTTTATGTTCATGTGTGCATGCATTCTGACTAAACTGATAAGTTACTATTTGCTTACAATTAGCGACTGGTTAGTTCAATCAAAAGGGCTGAAAGGGTGAGTCACTAAGACAGTGGCTATATTGCCATGTACCATGATAACTTCAAGGAAAATCTGAAATGAATTGCATGAGGAGTGATAGACATCTAACTACTTTGTTCAAAATGGTATATGACTTGGATATATATATTAGTGGTTTCCAAATGCTGGCCATATCAGAATCACCTGGAAATCTTTGCAAGTTGGACTTATCCCAGGATATTATGAATCGAAGGTCTGAAATGAGGAGCAAGAATTGTATTTTTTAAGAGTTCCTCATTTCACACAACTTTGTTTGTCGGTGGATCAGTACACATAATCTGGGTCCTAATTCCACAGCCCCACTGTAGCTTTAAGTTGGAGTCAGTTAACTTGCAACAGGTTCTTCATTGTAATTTCACTGTCATCAACAACAAGAAAATAGGCCTTCTTGAGGATAGAAACATCTATTCAAACACATATGTCATCAATAATAAGTCATCACAATAAAAATAAATTTTCAGAAATACCGCATAATACAATAATGACATTCTAAAATGTTTCTCATTTCAAATGTTATATCTATGTGCAAAGCAATCAGAGTGTGAGAGAGGCATAGTCATTTTGGTGCTTGATATCAGCTCATCTGTGGCCTTGATTAGTTGGGTCACAGAGTCCAGACAGGTCAATCAGCTGGCCAAGGCGTTCTCTTTCTCCAGCACCCATGGTGCTCCTTCCGGGCTCTTCAGCCACATACACACAGCCCCAACTCTCTTTGTAGGCAAAAGGACAGTTCTACACATTCGGGGAGAAGTAGAGGTTGAAATAGAAAACTTTGCCTAGTGCATTCAAACAATTACAGGAGAAAAGGATTTAAGGTTCCAGCATTATACAGAAAATCACTCAGTCATTTTGCACATGAAGACCCACAAAGTTTTTATATCTTCTTAGTGTATTGAGCTAAACATAATAAGTCAGTCTGCTGATGAGATTACTTATAATAAGAAGGCATGTCTTAACTCAAGGAACCCCCGATGAAAATTATACATATGGATAAGTACATAACCATTTTCAGCCATCAACTTCTCATTTATGCAGACATTAATAAAATAAGGTTTTATAAAGATGAATGGATTATTGGGTACGATTCTAGCTGTCAGCTGTGAACCATCAGTTACTAAATTGTTATGTACCAAATCATGACTTACCAAGGGGGTTTTCTTCATCTCAGGGAGAATGTAGATGATTATCAGTGAACTGTTGTATACCAACACAAGCATCTCTCTTGTGGCTTTGCATTGAGAAGTAATTTTTTTGGGGGGGGAGGGAGGGTTGGGAATCTTTTTCCCCCCTTTATAGCTTTTCTAACTTATTTTATGGGCCCTGCAGATCCCAGACCAAAGTCACTTTCTCAGTGAGCCCTTTATTTGAGGCTGATAAGGCCAAAAATTACTAAAGAAGGTGTCATCATTTCTCCACTAATCACCTGTGTGATCCTGGGCAAATCACTTAGCCTCTCTGTTTCTCCATCTTTCTCATTTGTAAAATCAAGAATCAGGACTGGAAGCTCAAAGGCTTTTCCATTTCCAGTGTTGCAGCATACTGCCGTGTTGTCCCTGCTTCCTTTGGCCGCAGGAAGCACTTTGTTGTCTGAGAGTGTCTAATAATTAGTATTTTGCCCCAAGTCAGAAGAAATGTTCTTCCATTCCTTGGTTTCCCCACCAAATTAGGTTTTTCTTGGCACTCATATTCACGACTAACTGGTAGCCTGGGCACAAGGAAGCTGGGGGTGGGGCCTCTTCCTTTGCATGTTGTTGCTGGTAGTCTTGTGGTCAGTCAGATGCCTGACCTTAAGAGCACAGACAGAGGGCACAGTGGTCACAGTCAGTACCACCAGGCAGACAACACTACTAAACATACAGTACTTTTGCAATAGTCACAGACACTTAAGACACAGACACGAGATGAAGAAATGATAGACATTTTAATAATCAAACATGGGAAAGATCTTCTTGGGTGGGGGAGGAATTCTTGATACTACGTTTTTACCCTGTCTTCCTTAGATCTACATGTCTGCATATGACACTCAGAACAACTGATGAAAACTGAGGGTCTAGTATTAAGCAGGTGGCAAATGCTTGTGGGTTTTTCCCCTCTGCATCTTCACTGCATCTTCCCCTCTGCATCTTCACTGGTCATTTGTGTGGGTAGATAGTTATAGGGGCTTTATGGTGAAATTTATTCCAATAGCTGAAGGTGGGCTCTGCTCTGAGTATCCTAAAAAAGGGGCTCTGACAAAAGGAGGTAATTAGTCTAGAACCAGCAAAGTGAGACCAATGCAAAAGCCAGGGGCATGTATCTGTAGCTGAATCAGGAGGAAGAAACCAGTGGTCCCATCTGCCGTCCCGTCACCTGACCAACAAGCCTGGGAGCCATAGAAGAGCCAGCTGCCTTTCTAGTCAGGCCACTTGGGGCACACCAACTCTTCTGGTCATGAAACTGGTGGTAGAGATTTAATCTTTGACACAGTCTTTAAAAACGAAAAAAAAATTTCGCATGATCAGTTAGAAGATACTTTTCTTTAAAAGTGATATTTTGGGATCATCTCCAGGAAGCTTTCCCTCTAAGCAAGGATAAGCCTGATCTCTAAGCCCTGCTGGTTCTGGAGGCCAGTCCATTTCCTCACTATTTTGAGTTCTTGTTAAAGTAACAGATGACATGGTAGTGGGGGGTGAGAAAGTCCTCACATTCTAAGGTCAAGATGGAGCAAAGAGTACAGTGAGATTTTAAAAATCTCCCTGAACTTAAAAACCAAACAAGGGGCCGGGCGTGGTGGCTCAAGTCTGTAATCCCAACACTTTGGGAGGCCAAGGCAAGTGGATTGCCTGAGCCCACGGGTTCGAGACCAGCCCGGGCAACTTGGGGAGACCTCATCTCTACAATAAATCAAAAAATTAGCTGGGCGTGGTAGCACGTGCCTGTAGTTCCAGCTACTTAGAAGGCTGACCTGAGCCCAGCAGGTCGATGCTGGGATGGCCGTGAGCATGCCACTGCACTCAGTCTGGGTGACAGGCTCCAACTCAAAAAAAAAAAAAAAAAGCAAACAAAACACCTTGACATTATGGTGAGATAAAATGGAAATCTTCTACTACGGAACAATTAACTTTTTAAGGATTCTGGTCTTTTGCTCTTTTAACCTGCTTGGTTAAAAGTGTCTATGCATTTCTATTTAGCAAAAACTAATAGGCACATTGGGTTAAGACTTCAGAGTCAGAATCCAGCCTACATAATATTGGCATTAATATCATTCAGCTGTAACCAAATGAATGAACTAAGTGCTTAGGAGCAGTCAACCAAACACTACCGTCAGTTCTAAATTTCTCAGTGACCCTAACAGAGCACAGCATGAGAGCAGTAGTACTGTCCTCTTTAAAGAGACAGGGAACAAACATGGTAAAGTTTTGATGCCCATCAAATTATACCATTGGACTTAAAAATGTTTTTAATACCTCCTCTTATAATTATACCATACGGGATGTCACAATTGGTGACACATTGGAACCTGGTTTTTCTTTCATTAGTTAATATCTGGGTCTATATAAGTTGCTCTAATTAAGTAGCCTTCTAAAAAGAACAAGACGGCTTTAGGACAGGCAGAACATAAGCATAAGGACTGTGTCTTTCCTTGTTGTACTTGGTTGAATTTTAGGCATGATCGTGTCTTCGCAAAAAGGAGTAGTGAGCTGATTACTGAACTACAGCAATCTTTTAAACAGTATTTCTCATGTTGCAAGCAACCTAGATAAGATTTTTAGAAAAGAACAGGCTATTGTGCTCAAACGCATAACAAATCTGCTTGACTGGCATTTGGAAAGAAGAAACAAACTCTTATTAAAATTTAACATCAACTTGGCCAGACTTTGGGCTGAATTAGAAGAACAAAGTGCTGCTCAGTAAAAAGCCAAGGATGGGATTAATGTGATTTCTCTTCTTAAGGCTGAAATTAGGAAAAAGAAAATGGTCAACTAATTCCTTCCCGGCAGGTCCACATACATCTCAAATTTCAAGGGCTATTGAGGGCCAAATCTTGCCACTACAGGACGGTTTTTCTTACAAAATGCTTAATTTGTAGATGCATGGCTCTGATTTCAGGGGACAGAGGGACAATCCAGTGTCTACAATTGTCTCGAAGAGAACAAATGGCTCTGGATTGGTGATGGCAGACACAGTGGTACTGAAAATGACTTCACCTCTGCACTATTCATGGGGGCCTGGCCTGGCCAACCTCCAAGCTTCTGCTCCACTCTATCCCTGCTGGTTCTCAAAGGCTCTGAATGGGTAACATGACTACAACACTTTGGGATCTACAGGATTTCATGATAGCTTCTAAACATTCCTCTTCCTGTCCTTTACGTGTCCCAGGGTCTTAAGCTGACTTGTTGCCTCTATATTCTGAGAGAATGCCCAGCTCTGTGCTTGGGCTGGGATTATGGGAGGGACGAAGCCTAGGCTAGAATGCCCTTGCAGATGGGGCCACAGTGCTATCATTTGCCATAACAGCACCTATGTGGAGAGAGGCGGTGCCACCCACGACTTCGACCTTGTGATTGTGAGAGATGCGCCACTCACCACAGAGGGACCACCCTGCTGCCGAGTGACGTATGAACGAGTGAGGATTTCCTAATAGGCATTTCTTGCCAAAGGAATCATGAGGGAATCCATCTAACTTACTCGGTTTGCCACGAAACGTCAAAGTTACCCAGAGCCTTAAACACACCAAGTACAAATGCAACACATACAAGCAAAGCTAATTCGATAGAATTCCTAGCAAATTATTAAACTCCACAGTGGTAGGGCAAGGAATGGTTGCAGGGAGAGGGAGAGAGATGATCGAGATGGAGATAGGTAGAGAGATGAGATAAGCAAACCAGTTTTTTTATGTTTCCATCTTGAAGAGTTCGATCCCACTGGCAAAACTGAGATCTTGCCTCAGCCGACCAGAGGCCTCTGATTACGAGGACCATGTCTGAGCAGAGCTGCAGAAACCAGAGCTCTAATCCCCCTAAAAAGGGAAGCGGTTTATTATGAAAATACAAACTTGAAAATACCTCAAACCCTTTCATTAGCAGCATAGTTCCAAACGCAACATTTCCTTTTTCAATCAAGTTTAAATCATGTGGCTTCAACGCATCTGTCCTGCTAAGTCTGCTAGAACTCTTAAAAGAGCAGTGCAAAAGAGAGCGAAAAGACGTCTTTCCTTTCAAATGGCAGACAATCCTTATAAGACATTCTCTAGGGTTCTATTCTGGAGACTATTCAATTGGACTCGGGGCACTTTTTAAACAGCCGCTTGGCACTTTCCGTGTGGAGTTCTTAGGCACAGTGTGACAGAGTCAGCTTGGTGAGCCCTTCCCCATGCATTCGGTATAACAGCTGAAACTCAGCAGGCAGCTGGTGGGACTCTTGCCACTTGGTGGTAAATTTGGTTCCTTTTTTGTCATAGTAATGGTATGGAAGGTCTTCCCTTGTGTTGGGGTCAAATCCAAAAGGCCAAAATCCATACAAATGGATCTCTTCACAAATTGCTGACGCAAGGGTATACATAAGGATACCTGTGCTCAGCCGTTTGGGCGACAAATGTTTGTTTTTCCAGTACCTGTGGAACAATAAGTACACGTGGATTCAGAGGTCAGTGTGGAAAGTTTCAGTCAGCTAGGTCAACATGATGGGCTGGGAGTGGGTTTGTCCACCCCATTTAAACAGTGCTTGCTTTATCTTATAGAACACACACACACACACACACACAGTCCTCTAGGCAGGACTGTCTATGTAATTTGTGAGAGCCAGTGAAAAATAAAAGTGCGGGCTCTTCACCCAAAAATTCTTGAAGAATTCAAGAGTGTAAAAGTCAAGTATTAAACCCAGTGTGGGGCTCTTCTGAGCATGTGATCTCCTGTGACCACACTCTTTGCACACTTTTGACGCTGGCCCCGCCTCTAGGTCTTTTTAGAGAGCGGTGACTCTGACCCCATGGTGACAACAAAAGAAGGTCAATGATAAGAATGACTATGTTATTCTGTCATCGGGGCCCTTGGATATGGTGGAGGACGTTGTTTACCCTAAGGGGACACTTCTGTCTTTCCCTTCCCAAACCTAGAGATAAATCCTGCTTTCTGGGCTTTGAAAGATTATGGGGACTTCTTCTTCTTGTGAAAAGTTGTATTCCTTGCTTCTGTGTCTTCTGACTAGGCGCTCTCAAGCCCATCTTCAGTGTGCTAGGCACTAAGAAACGTATTTACATGCTTTCCAAATCTAAAAAAACAAAACAAAACTAAAGCCTGGTGTTATTCCTTCCATATTTAGATAGTATTCCGAAGCCTTCCTGTTCACATTGTCAAATATTTGTGGTTTCTATTAAGGGTGTGTGTGTGTGGGTGTGTGTATGTGTGTGCGTGTGTGTGCGTGCATGTGCACGTGTGTGTTTATTGACTGTGCAGGCAGAATTAAACTGTTCACGAATCAGGTTTCCATGGACTGTATTTCCTTCCTGTTTTCATTGAACCAATGTATTTGGTTCAAGCTTGAGTGGCCGTGAAAAATTATGGTTGACTCCACAGGCCTTTGTGGCAGGCAGGCCACATGGGTCAGTTTCTGTAAGTTTCTAAGCACAAGCAGTTCCTTTTTCACTACTTGAAGGCTTCAAAGGTGAACATTTCCCCCTTCCAGATGGAATTTAAAAGTGTATTCTTGGTTTTAACGTTTTTTACCTAAAGAGTTAGGATGACTCTGTCGATCTGTGTGGTGTAGCCAAACTTAAACTGAACAAGAGAAGAAAAACATGATGAGGTCAAAAGACCACGGAACAAGCTGGCAGGAGATCTGGTTTCTCATTTTGGTTCGGCCCATTTTGTGCAGTGGCTTTGGGTAAATAACTCCTGCTCCTTGTACCAGCTGACTCAACTTTAAACTTAAGAGTCGGACTATGTTACCTCTTAAAAAGGTGATCATACAGTTTGGGAAACTGGGATGGTCTCGGTTGACATGATATCCCTGTTGTAATTGTTAATAGCACACTTTTTCTGTCAAAGAGAAAAGTTCCTGCCTGGACTATAAATTATGACATCACCTTACCAGTGAGATATACACAACAATTTATTAGACCACAATTCTCCTTCTAGGTCAACTAAACAGATCTTAAATTTAGAGAACTTTAGGAGACCACAGGATGGGAAGAAGCTATTACAGGATAAAAATCTTTAGAAGTTCCTGTTTACCAGGTCTTCTAGAACCCACTCCAATGTGTAACAATATCTGGGGGTTATGTTAGGATACTGGGGTTACTTACGTAGGGGAAATTGAAGTTGAGGAGTTTTCTCCAAATGACTTAAAAGAAAAAAAAATCCTACAATTAATCATGCTTTATACAATGCCCTGGATTAGTGGCTCTCAATTATGCCTGTATATTGGAATCGTCTGGGCATTAAAAAAAAAATACTAGGTATCTGGTCCCCATCTTCCTACTCACCAGAAAAATTGCAATAAGATCTCTTCAGGTAAAGCCCAGACAAAAGTATTTTGTAAAGTTCTCTAAGTGATTCAAATACATAACCAGAGTTGAAATTCACTACAATAGACAAAAATATTGCCTCTCTGATGGATTTGTCCACCAAACTGCAAGGGATAACAAGCTCATAAAATACTTTTCACATGTTTCTGCACTCAAATATTAAGTTATAAAAGCAGATTGCAACAATTCATTATTTATCTAGGTAGTGTGCTAGTCTTGGACATCTACAAAACACCTAAACAAATACAAAGGAAATGTTAAGTATTCTTAAACATGTCTGTGAAACACAACTTGATTTGTCTAGTTTAACCATTGGCATTGTTGGAACTCAGACAATTTTTTAAAAAAATTCTTGACTTGTGATTTCTATGACTGCTTGGTAGTCATAGGGGAAGGGACAGAGAATAGAGAGGGGAGATTGATGAAATACCAATCCCTCCACTTGGCACTTGGTTGCCAGCTGGGGATAGATTGAACTCCTTACCCAGAATGACTCATTCATTCACTCATTCATTCCAAAAGATGAGGGTTTTCCCTAAGTACTAAACGATCCACAAAACTAACTAACTGGACGATTTCCACCCCCAAGAGATTACATAGATTTGTCATCTGGTGAGATATGAGTAAAACGCAATGAAATATACACACCTGTTGACATGTTGCATTATATTTCCAGGCCAAGCCAATTGGACTTTTAACTGACCTCTGTGTTCAACGAAAAAGTCAACTAATGTTCTGGTAACAGTTGCTGAAGTGTGGAAGAAAAATGCAGGGATCCAAAGGATGGCCCCATCAAGCTTTTTTAAGCTGAGGAAAAAGTTGTTACGGTCCTGAATGGTCAAAAGATTGTTGTAATATTTTTCCAGGATGCTGGGGTTGAAGGTGGTAAGGTTGGTTTTCCTTCCAACATCTCTTTGAAAAGCCTCCGTAGGGGCGAAATTGCAACGGAAAACAAAATCTGACTTATCTATTTCTTGTCCACACTGGCTCCCTGTCAAGATCCCACTATTTCCAACCACAGAACAAATATTATAATGCTTATTCATAATGGGTGACACATCTGGGAGCAGCGATCGGAAGTTATTGCTAATAGAGAAGACATATTTATGGCTGGAATAATCATAGTGCATGAGTTGTCCAATCCGAACACTATTCTTGGTCAAAGAAAAATTTTTTATTACATCGACATGCTGGAGAATTTCTTGCCTAAAATAAAAAGAAATTCATTAAATGCATTCCATACAAAAGAGCTGATTTTCCATTCTGTTTTATGCTGCCATTCAATTCGGACAAAAATCCTAGGCACATTGCGTCCAAGAAAGAGCATACATGCATAATTGTGTTCTTTGAAGGGAGGACCGCTTCGGAATCTACAGATATGTTCTAATCTTTCAGTCAGGCTCTGAATGTATTCTTTGAGACTTACTAATGCAACTTACAGTTTTAGGTGTCATTCCTTTGTTTTCTGCTCTTTGCAAAGACTGTGTTTGATTGGCAGGGAGGCATAGGCCAAATTGTGTCAGAAAATACAGGGAGACAATTTATACAGGCTCGAAAGAGCTCACATTAATGCACCAACATTAGTGACTTAGAGCTTGTAACCAGGGTCTAGTCAGTTGCTACTGGACTGCAGTGTTCAAAGAATATAAAATATCACTGGTGTCCAAATAAGAGCCAAATAGATATGAGTCAGTACAGTACTATCTATTATTAAAATATGAAGATGGTAATAGCAGTGGGTGTAGTTGAATATTTAATAGAAATGAGATGATAATCTCATTAAGAACCTTTGAATAATGAAACAGGGATATTTTTCTACTTGGTTACATAGAAAGACAACTTAGTTGAAGAAATATAATCCTTAGAGAAGAAGGCTACTGTAAATCCTGAAAGTGTGTGCATATATTTTAACAATTCAGGCCATAAACAAGGTAAGAGTGATACTTAGGATTAATTTCATGTTGCTTTCATGTTGAACTTTAAGAAAATTAATTACCTCCTCTTATAGTTTCAGCTATTTCAAATATTCAAGAGAGACTTGTAACGTGTCACTTTGCTACTAGATTCTTCAATGTTAAGAAATCACATTGAATTTCTTGTTCTTCTACCTAAAAACTGGCATGAATGAAATAAAATACTTGGCATAACTTAGCTTTGCTTGGAATTTTATTTTATAAAACGACCTAATTCTTCAAAGTACAGACAACACAAACTGAAGTCTTCAATCCAAAATTTTCAGTTACCAGTGCTATTCTTACAAACTATTAAAAAGGTAAGACAAGTTTACACGGTACTGGTAAAAGTTAATCAAAGATTATCTAATAAATAAGTTGAAATGAAGGAGGTTTTTAGACAGAAATATGATTGGTCATTTGGGTCACATGGCCTAGAGCAGGAAGATTATTTTTATTGAGTTAGAAATATGTTTTGGGGAAAGATGTGTGTTCTAACCATGAAAAATTTCTACATTGTCTGTAAAATTAATATTTGATTAAAACTTCCCAATTTGTTTTAAAACAGCACCCTGTGGGTTTTAGAATCAATTTTCACAAACTAGTTTCTAACTGAACATAAGTGTTTAAAAATTTTTAGTCACAATCACGAGTCAACTTTTCAAGTAAACAATATTTTCATGATACCATGGATATCCACTGAATTTGTATTAATTCTGCCATTAATTAAAATGTAAAATGAGAGAGAGAGAGCGAGCAATATCTCGAAATGCTATGACCAAAACACAGTTCCCTAAACACAGTGGTTTGTAAAATAAGTATTCACACCCCTAATGACTACAATAGATGGGTCATATTTCACTCAGCAGCATAGTAACTCCCCAAGAAGAAAGGAATAAATGAGTTATCTGGGTTTGCTTAGACCAGAATCACCAAGGAGAGTAAGTTTGAATAAATCTCATCCTTCCCCCCCAAAAAGACAAAAACAAAAACAAACCATCTCTTTCATGTATGAAACGAAATTGCTACAACTAGTAAGACTGTAGCTTTACAATAAGTTAAAAGTGGTAAAGAAACAAGGAAAACAAACAGGCAAAATCATAGTTAAATATTTGGGCCAACATTTCCCTAGTAATTTGGTGGCGATAGAGTATGTTGTTTCCTATGTTTTAATGAAACGATACCATTTTAATTTTTCCTATTTTGTGTGTGTGTGAGGTAATGAAAATGGGTTGGGTGGTCTTTTTTGCAACTAGTCTTTTGTTTGTTTTTCTTGTTTAATAAATGGCTTTGGCAGTATTAGCCAGATATGTTAATGGTAAATCATGGTGCTCATGTTAGGGAGAATGTTGGAAACATCTTTTAATTTCTATTCAAATTGGTCCTTCTGATATTTCCTTTTTATGACTGGGCACTACACACATATGAGAGGGTTGCTCTTTGGGCAGTGGTCCAGGAAAACGATACAAATACACCGGGTGGCGAGGGGTGGGGAGTGTAGATTTTTGTTGCTTTGAATTTGTTTTTGTTTTGTTTTTTTGAACTCCAGAATCCAAAAGCACCTTTTGAATCCTTTCCTCCTATCCTACCTTTGATGTAAAAACGCTGTCCGGTTAAATGTCCACTTAGACGGTTTCTCTTGGAGTTCCTGGGTGAGGGAATTCGTGATGGGCACAAATGACGGGTCTAGAAACTTCAGCGCAAACTGTGACCTGGAGAGGGGCATGAGCAGACAAACGTGCTGGCCTCAGCTCGGGGAAGCCGGGGTCGCCATGAAGGCCCAGCCGGCGGGGGCGGGGGCGGCCGGCACACGCGCGGGCCGCATTCCGCCTCGAGCCCCCTCTCATCTGGGCCACCCTCTGCGCCCACACACCCGGGGAAAGACGGAGAGCCAGGGAATCCCGTCTCCATTGTCCACCCCTCCGGGTGCGGGAGAGACCATAAAATGGCCGTCATGCGGAGAGAGGGCGGGAGCCGGGCGCACCGCGGGCGCCTCTGCGCGCGGAGGACCGGCGAGTCAGCACCGCGGACAGCGGCCGCCCCGCAGCCCGGGAGAATTGATCTTCGGGAAAAGGGCACAGGAAACCGGTGACCCGGGGACGGGCTGGGGGCGGCTCCGGCCTTAACCTCTTCCTTCCCGAGTCTCTGTCCGATTTCCCTGCCTAGCCTTTGACCCGGGACCCCGGGAGGCCGCGGCCAGCTCCGCCCGTCTGCCCGGGTGGGGCTTTCTCCAGGTTCCACACCTCCGGCCCGCCCCGGACCACAGGTGGCCGTTTGTGCTTGCCACCTGCCCGTCAGGAGGCCCTGCTGCGAGAGCTCCTAGGGTCGCAGGTAGGGGCGGGGGCTCTCGAGGAGCTGCGCCAAGCTGTGCCCGGAGCCCGCCCGGTCCGGCCCGGCGCCTGGCGGCGACTGGAGCCGGGCGGGGGAGGCGCCCTTCGGAGGCCCGCTGCCCGCGGGGGGCGGCGGGAGGGGGAGGGATTGCCGGGATCCCGGAGAGGCAGCGGTGGCGGCAGGGGAAGGGTCGCGGGAGAAGGTCCCCGGGGGCTTCATGAGAATAAGCCCGCGTACTATGTGATGGGCGTGGGGGAGGAGAGGAGGAGCGCGCGGCGAGTCCGGCGCCTGCGCCATTAAGCCTCCCGCACCGCCCGGAGCCTGGCTCGCGGCGTCTGCGGGCAGGGCGCGCGGGGGGCGCTCGCCTGGCGCCTGGCCCGTGTCTCGGCCCACCGCCCCCTGCCAAACACACGCACACTGCCTCCCCTCCACCATCCTCCTCCTCCCCCTCCCCCGCCTTTCTGGAACGGGAGAAGGGAT